GACAGCGGCCAAACCTAGGGACCCTGGAGGGGATGGACCAAAGACAGTGACCAAGCCATTTGTCTCGTGCCATCCCTCTCCAGCCTTCCACAAACTTTGGGCAGGGACACCACTCCTACCCCCTGGCTAATACCACTCCATGGACCCAACCTCCATGACTTGATCTCACTTCCCTTTAAACTCTGTTCTAGTTCTAGCCTTCACAGCCTCCTGCAGCAAGGAGTTCCACAGGTTGACTCTTTGCTTTGTGAAGAACAACTTTCTGTTACTAGTTTGAAGCCTGCTACCCATTCCTTTCCTTTGGTGTCCTCTAGTCCTTCTTTATGGGAACTAATGAAGAACTTTTCTGTATGCACCCTCTCCACCCAACTCCTGCTTTTACAGACCTCTATCCTGGTCCCCCTCTGTCTCCTCTTTTCTAAGCTGAAAAGTCCCAGTCTCTTTAGCCTCTCTTCATATGGGACCTGTTCCCAACCCCTGATCATTTTAGTTGCCCTCCCCTCTCCCACCCTCTCTCTTCCCCTCTCCCACCTCCTTTTCCCAGTCTCCCCCAGTTTTGTTCAATAAAGACAGATTCCATTTTTGAACACAATTGTCCTTTATTTTGTACATCAAGAAGGGGGGCTAGGGAAGGGTAAGTGGAAGGAGGTGAGGGAGGAATGGGGTACGAGCCCCCGATGGGGAGGACTGGGCTGGCTCTGCGGGCTTCTGGGGGTGGAAGCTCTCCTGTAGCCCCCCAATTGCCCCCTCTCTCCAGATGGCAGCCTGCGGCAAGTCTGATGGCCGAGTGCTGTGATGTGCCCAGTGTGGGTACTCCGGGCACTCCAAGCCAGGACTGCTTTGCAAGCGGGACACCCCTGAGAACTGTCTGTCCGGGGTGGGGGTCGGGACCCTTTAAGCACAGCCCTCGGCTAGCCTGAGACAGCATCTCCACGCTCTAAGTCCTCCTCTGATGCCCTGCCGGCACTGCTTCCGGCCATCCTTAACCCCGGTTCAGGGTCCACTTAATGTGGACATGCTAGTTCGAATTAGCAAAACGCTAATTCGAACTAGTTTTTTAGTCTGGATCTGTTAGTTCGAATTAGCTTAGTTCGAATTAACTAATTCGAACTAAGTTAGTTCGAATTAACGTTGTAGTGTAGACGTACCCTGACAGATTTACCTTGGAATCGCTCTCTGGCCGGCTGACTCTCTCAGCATCCGACACCACATTTTCAAACATTTTTAGAAGCCATTTTTTGGATTTAGACCAGTTGCTGTGAAGAAAAAACAATAGCTAAGGAATGATTTGAAATGCACATGCAGGCAGCACAAAGCCACTTCACGTTCATGGAGGAGGACTCTTCATTTTCCCTCCAAGCCTTCTTGGCACACCTCAATAGTATTCCACTGATGGACAGAGCTGATTTTCAGTATCATGGGGTCAACTGGAGTCAACTGCAGCTGTGGATGCTCAGCAATACTGAACCCCACAGTAACTAAACAAATGGTCTGGTGGCCAGAACAGGAATCTGACACTCAGCACCACTGGGCCTCCAGTCTGAGAAAACAAGGTGTCACATTATTGGATTTTAAGGGGAGCAGCCAGATCACTACTGCTACCTCGGGGGAGGGGGGAGGTGTTTGCCCCAAAGTCTGTACAAAGGCAGCCATGTGAGGTGTCAAATGAAAGCTTATGTTCTACTGATTCTATGTATGCTACTCATGTACTTATATGATGTCTGTATGTGGAGTTATGAATATGGACTATGTGCTGATACTGGCTTGCACTGCCTGTTATAAAGGAGGATTGTCCAATGAATGACTATGTTAATTAGCATGGCCCCAAGGACAATTGCTCTCAAGGTGCCCAATACACACCTAAGGAATACGTTTGGGAACATGCAAACCAGCCAGGGCATAATGGCCACCAGCATGTGAAACACAAACAGGTCACTTGACCATGTGGCCTGCTCTGGCTAGGGGTACGCAGAGAGAGATACATAAGTGCCATGAGGTGGACTCCATCTTGTCTTGAATCTTGCTACCGCTCCCAGAAGCAGCCTTGTGAGGGACAGAGAGCTGGGTAGGATCGTGGACCCATCCTGACGTAGGATGTACATCAGAGACTTTTAAGATAACAATTATAACATCTCTGCTGAGAGCCTGCATCAAGAACTTGGTGATTGGTGCATGTACTGTAATCTCATACCTTCCTCTCATACCTTTTCTTTCTTTTATTAATAAACTTTTAGATTTTAGATTCTAAAGGATTGGCCCAGCTTGATCTTGTGGGTAAGATGCAAAGTGTAAACTGACCGTGAATCTGTGGCTGGTTCTTTGGGACCGGAAAGACCCGTTCGGGGCAGGTGAGTTTGGGTTCTATAACCCCTCACCTGTGTGCAGGCCCAGGGCTGATTGCAGCACAGGGAGAGCTGAGGTGTCTGAGGGGTTTTGCTCGCGAGGCTTCCTGTTGGCCAGATTGGCAGCTGGAGCACTTGTGTGTGACTGGTTTGTGGCCTATTTGGGAAAGGTCTCCAGTCTGGGGCTGTAAGGAGCCCTGGTTTCGAGTAATTCGCTCTGAGCGGATGCCCTCAGCTGTGCCCAGACCTGGCCCAGTCCGTCACACAAGGGTCTGATTTTTAGAGCCACGGAGCACTCACAACTCCCATCTGTATGCAATGAGGTCTGTGGGTGCTGCCTATGACAAAAAATCAGGCCCAAGATGTCTCAAGTTGGGCACCAAATACCAAAATACTGGTCCAAGACAATAAAATGACAGGATGGGACATCTTTTACAAAAGCCAGCACAGATGGCCTGATTCTCCTCATGCAGTGGTGCAATTCCATTGATTTCAGTGGAGTTGTCCAGGTTTACACCAGGATAAGTTAGAGGAGAATCAGGAGTATAATTTTCAATGGACAAAATTTAGAGCCCAACTAACACTGCATTTGACTGAAATGGAGTTGAGGAAGAACATTGTTTTCTGAGGAAATGCTTATAGCGTTACTAGGGGAATAAGACACTTCTAATAGATTAGCAAGACTTGCCCTAGTCTCCCACCCACTCCGTTACCTCATAAAATACGCAGGCATCTGGGATGCATATTCAAAATCCTCATCATACTTCTGAAAATGCCCTTCAAACTCCTTCATGTCACTCTTGTTTGTTGGACAGACACCTTTTCCAAACAAGATATTTATTGTTGCTGGATACATGACAGACCTGCAGCCACAGAAGCACAGGAGCAACAGGCCAATGGGAAGTTGTTCTGACATCTTGTCTGGCATGTTTGATTATCAACAGAAAAATAACTCTGGAACTTTGGAACTTTAACTTATGATGAAATTCTAATTTAGGATGAAATTCTAATTGAGGATGAAATTCTCCCTGTGCAGAGGGGGACAGTGGGACTTAAGCCAGCAAAACAATGTTTAAGTGGGACCTTCATTAGACTTTGCTCTAGCCCTCAGCTTGTGGTCAGATTTTACCAGTTGGTAAGCACTTACTCACCCAAGTAATTACAGAATGGCTCTGTGCATTGCACTGCCCTTTCTACTCCCACTCTCAATGGCCCATTATCCATCAGTCCGATTCCAAATGAGCTTCCTTGTTAGACTTCCCCAGACAGAGGCTGCACCCACTAGAAACCCTTCTCCTGGGTGATATCCATCGCAGCAGCTTACAAATGTAGTCCCACCCCTGGGTGTAACACAATCCCATCCCGAGTCCTGCTAGTTCAGGAAATGCTTTTTCCTGTCTTTGCCTCAGTCGCAGAGTGCTGATCTCTGCTCTTGCCCCCTGCTCACAAACCCAGTGGATTTCATTTGGGGGTCATTAGAGCTGCGAATTCCTAGCACATCATCCCCTGAGCTCCAGGGTTGGTTTTGTTTGCTTTTCTATTGGTCATGAGCAATATTTCTCTGCTGTCTCTCTGCAGCCATCTGCTGGCCAAAGGCACTTCAGCTCTAAGTGAGCTATACAGTGTAAACATTTTTTAACCCCATATGTATTTCAGTTCCCATTTTATAACCAAACGAACAAAAGGCACATAATAAAGGTGTACTACCCAAGACTGATTATAGTCTCCTTATCACAGGCACCAACTCTTGGAGCTCCCATTGAAAAAAACTTACCAGGGAACTTAGCATCCACCAGCAGCCAGTTTCTCCCCGTCTCTCCCAGCACCTGCCACCTACCTCGATCAGCTGTTTCATGCATGCAGAAGGTATTAAGGGAAGGCAGAGGAGTGGGGACTGGGTGTGCTCAGGGGAGTGAGGGTGGAACTGGGCAGCAAGGGGAAGGGCACAGGCAGAGGGGGCAGAAAGAGGCAGGGTGGGACCCGGGCTTAGAGGAAGAAGTGGTGGTGCCTGGGATGAAGCAGGCGTTGAGCACCCTGAGACAATGATAAAGCCAGCACCTATGTTTTTGTGCAGTTGGTTATCATAGTTAAGACCTGCCTGGCTTGTTAAGTTTGAGGCTATGCCTACACTGCACACCACTGGCAGGACGGGAAATAGAGAATGTGTAATTATAAGCCTCTGTGAAAAACAAGCTGTGTCGACACTGTGGTGTGTAGCTATACACATCAGCAAAAGGCTCTGGTAGGGTAGGGGCAATGGAAAAATACCATTCCCCACAGCCTAACCTCTACCAGAATCTTTTCCTGCTGGCAAATTCTTTCCCTGAAGCAAGGCAGGGATAGGGACCAGGGTGACCTGGAAAAATTGGAGAGTTGGGCGAAAAGAAATCTGATGAGGTTCAATAAGGACAAGTGCAGAGTCCTGCACTTATGACAGAAGAGTCCTATGCACTGCTATAGCAGCAGTTCTGCAAAAAAAGGACTTGGGGATTACAGTGGACAGGAAGCTAAATGTAAGTCAGCAGTGTGCCCTTGTTGCCAAGAAGCCTAATGGCATATTAGGCTGCATTAGTAGGAACACTGCCTGACGATCATGGGAAGAGGTTATTCCCCTCTATTTGGCACTGGTGAGGCCACATCTGGAGAACTGCATCCAGTTCTGGGGCCCTCATTACAGAAAGGAAGTGGACAAATTGGAGAGAGTCACCAGGAGGGTGGTGAAGTACTGGGATGGTATTGTGACAAAGTCCTGGCTGGGATGATTTAGTTGGGAATGATCCTGCTTTGAGCAAGAAGTTGGACTAGAGGATCTCCTGAGGTCCTTCCAACTCTGATATTCTCTGGCTCTATAATACTGGCACTGCTGCAGTTACTATTTAGGTAGCAAAGAACATGGGTATCAGTTCAACAGAGCAAGATCGTAAACGTCATGTACCTTATTAGATCGCTGAGATTCTCCGTTCCTGAAGTGCCCAGGTGGTCCATGTGCTCATGTAATTCTTTACACAGAGTCCCAGCAAAGAGGTACAGTCTAGAGAGACTCACTTTTCCCTTTATCGTGAGATAGAGTCGAGTATGGTTCCGATAAAAGATGTCTGCAGGAATTGAAGCTTTAAATACAAAAAGGGGGGGGTAAGGGCAGGAAGGTTTTGGAGAAAGCCGAGGTACATTTTAAATGTAAAAAGTGTCCACTTTGTATGTTACTTGTCATACTGGTTTAAGTTTATTGTAATCTTCCTCTTCATGGGCGAAATCTGTACCTGCTGAGATTTTATTCCTACAGCATTCATTTCTGACCTTGTAAAGGGCTCGGCAGCGGTTAACACCCCAACCCCACTAAGTTTTACTTCTTCTACTGAGTATGGAACTTCCTCCTTCTGTCTTGGAAATAAACATACCAGACAGAGACTTCTCCTGATTTATGTGCCAGGCAGTTCCCAAGGCACATTTTTGAGTGTTCTGTTGAGAGCATACAGAATCACTGCTCCATTACCTTCACTGACCACCTGCTAGGTGTGGGGCAGGGGATTTCAAGAGTTTTTGTTAATCTATAAAGCTTGAGTGGTCTTTGGAGCTAAGTGTTTACTGCTCAACAGTCCCCCTTACTTTCTTCTCCACAGCAGGTGCCGCTGTGCACTCGGAAGCCATTTCCCACACTTGGGAACAATAGTACTTTGAAGGGAAGGCTGGTGGAGGTACAAAGACGACCCCACAACCCCACCAGGTCCCAGCTGAAGGCTTTAACACCAACAGGCCTGTAAGCAAGAGCTCTAGCCAGCAGCCTCACCAGCCCTTAAGGTGAGAGTAGTGGCTAAGTGTGGAGAACAGACCCCTGACTAAGTGTGGAGTGATAGGTGCCTTTTGTTCACTTTGATAATTGTTTCCCTTTATTTATCAACATCATCAACAACAACAGCCATGAGCTCAATGCTGGTTGGTGTCCGACACCTCCCTCACTATTTCCTTCCATCTTTGCCTGTCCAGTGAAGAGTGGCTTAGTTTCTATAGACTAGCTCCGCACTAATCTGCTACAGGCAGTCCCCGACTTACAAACGGGTTACGTTCCAAACACGTGGTCGTAACTCGATTTGGTCGTACGTTGGAAATACCCTTAAACGCGCTGCCCGTGCCGTTTGAAAAACTTGACGTACTTGGTAGTCAACTCAAAAATATTATAATGGGGTTAATGGAAGGTTGGTCGTAAGTACGGATGGTTGTAAGTCAGTGTATCCGTAAGTCAGGAAGTCGCTGTATATCCTCTACCCATTCTCTGTTGGGTCTGTCTCTCCTATTCAGACCATCCATTATGCCAAATATCAGGGTCTTAACTTTTCGCTCTTCGCTCATTCTGCAGATATGCCCGAATAGCTGTAACTTCTGTTATATAACCTTCTGCAGTGGGTTCTCTTTATTTATGCCTGATATTAAATAGAAGGTGCCATCACAGCAGGTCCCAGGACCCAATATGGAGCACCATTTCTGTGGGGGTTTTCGTAATGGGCGTCCTTTTAAATTTCACAGTAAATGGGCCTGATTCCGTTCTCCCACAGCTTATATTCATCTCCCCTCTGTGGCAAATGTGAAAGAAGAGCAGGACCAGCATGGCCAACAGCATGGACAATGGGGGGCAGTAGTAGCAGCAGCTGAGAGCTCCAGGCCCTTTTGTAAGGCCGGCGTCCGGGGCAGTTCCCCTCCCCCAACCCTTGTTGGCGGGCCTGGACTGGACCAATGTGTGGGAATACTTGTCAGTGTGTCCAAGAGATTATACAGTGCTGCTAACTCTGGCAATACCTTGAGGCCCCAGCCGCTGAAATCAAGCAACTGCATGAGAATTTCAGCTTTCATTTTAGAACAAAGTAAGCTTCTGGCCCTCCTCACTGAATAAAAGTTTGAAAACGTGACCTGAGTTGCCCAGCAGGCAGCAACCTTCCTCCCCCCAATGTATTATTTTAAAATAATCTCATGCCTTGGGGGAGGGGAGAGTGAGTCTGGCTCCTGATTTTGAAAGTTTGAGGTTGGCAATAGGTGATTTAACACCTATGCAAAGAAAACTCTTGGGAGGCCTGGCACAGCTGTCCATTGGCACACTGTTGTTTTATGGCTAGCAAAGGCAGATTACACAATATGTACCTGGAGGTGGAAAGTGCAGCGTACCAGAGAAGCAGCTCGTTACATCATACAGACTCATTTTTGTGAAGGTCAGACCTGCCTGATTTTGGCTCTCATTCCTACAAACATGCAAAACAGCTCCTCTTCTATCAACGACTTTCTCTCCCAGCAATAAGAGAACTTCCCCCCGTAATCCGCTTTCCATTTGCTTAAAGGAAGTGTTAATTGGATTCAGAGTTGGCATAACACACCAGCAAAGTGTGACCTGCATTCTCTTCCACTGCCTGTTCTGGCAAAGGATAACAGCTTAGTATTGCTGCCAGCTAACAGTTTCTCCTTTTGCTCAAGTGAGGGAAGTTTTTACTATGGCTCTGAAGCTCTTACACATGCATACAATGCCCACCATAAAAAGGTCCTGGTATCTGACTGGCATTAGTAAGCCATACAAACAAATAACAATATAGTAATCATTGGTTCAAAAGTCTACTGATGATATGTGCTGTGGTCATTATACATGTTCAGGGCCTTGGACATCAAATCATTACACCTGTGTGTGACAGTGTGGGTAATATGTTGGTATCAATTTATGAATTTCAGTTTATGAATTTTATGACCTTTTCATGGATTGTTTATAATTGTAACCTGCATCGTGGTTAGAACCTCCATTTTGGATATGACTCACCTGAGTGTCTGGCATTGAGTGCCATTTTGAACTAGAACAAGTGTGGCTTGCTCAAGATGTATAACAAGGTCAGAGAGGACTGGATTGGGTAGTGACAGGACAGGTAGTGACATTTTTCAACCTGGAGAGAGCTAATACAAGAGGTGTCATCCAGCCAGCTCCAAAGTACTATGGGCTTGTTAGTGATTCTTTTCTACCCTATGAAAAAAGGGGTTGTGCATGTGAATCCAGTGTGAATGGAGAATGAGCTTTCATACGAGAGGCTCATAACCAAGACTGTAGGCAAGAAGGGTACTGCGTGAGTGAGGCTGGCCACTGCCCGCACCAAGAGGGAAAGGAAACAAGGGAGTATCCAAGCAGCCAACACACAGGCAGACCTCGGACACAAATAAAAGGGTGAGACCAGCCCAAGGATGCATCCAGGTGTTTTTTTTTTTTATTTTGCCTAGGTCTCTTACTCTCCTGGGCTGTGGGCTGTGCCCACAAAGCTCATGATCCCATCTACAGTGGAATCCAGATTATCCGTCACCCAGTAATCCAACACTCTGCTTTATCTGACCCTGCAGTCCCCGGGAGCTGCAGGGTCGGATACAGCGCAGGCCCGTTGCTCTCTTGGAGCAGCTGCTGCCACTCCTGCCTGGGACGAAGCGGCGCCAGCAGGAGCAGCATCAGCTGCTCTTAGAGATCAATGGGACAGCTGATGCCATTCCTGCCAGTGCTGCTTCTTCCCCGGCAGGCGCGGCATCAGCTGTCTCGTTGTACTCTTGGTGCTGCTGCTGCTGCTCCTGCCGGGGATGAAGCAGCCCTGGCAGGAGCGGCAGCAGCTGCTCCTAGAGAGCAACGGGACAACTGATGCTGCTCCTGCCGGTGCCGCTTCTTCCCTGGCAGGAGTGGTATCAGCTGCCCCATTGCTCTCTACAGTAGAGTCCCTATCATCCAACATATTCGGTAATCCGACCATGTGTTAGTCCCGTTTAGGTTGGATGATAGGGACTCTGCTGTACATGTTCTGTTAGTCTATAAAGTGCTACTAGACCATTTGGGTTTTTTTAAGTTTATCCTGTACAGACTAACTCGGCTACCCCTTGAAGCTATATGAGTCAGTGAATCAGGTGTGTGTGTGAAGCTGTATGTGAAGCTTCTTGCTTTAAGTTACATAGCTCCTGAAGGATGCAGCTGGAGAAACCAGAACTCATCCATCCTGTTAGATGCTGGAGGGAACAGGTCTAAACTTGTTGGGGGCTCAGGAGGACTGGAACATAGGTTCTGGGGTCTAGGTGGCTGGACTGCCATGAGGGCTGTCAGCCATGGAATCTACACCTCAGAGGTGGGCCTGAATGTCCCAGAACTAGGAACAGTGATCTATCACTACCCAGATCCAGAGACTTTATCAGCCCATGCAGTCGGATCCTCTCATGATATACCAGCCCATTGTGTATTGCATTTGCCCCTTAACTTTATGGGTTGATTGTGGATTAAGATATGCATTTAAAACCTATCCCAAAGACGAATGGGTTACAGATCACATCTTTAACTGTGATGGGTGGCTAGATTAGCTTTTCATTGAAAGTGAAATTCTCTCTTACTTGTACGCTGGATCGTTGGCTGCACCGCCTGCTCAAAATCTAAGTCCTTAGATGTAAAAAATGCTTCAATCCCCTCCTCCTCAGTCACAAAGGTGAATCGGTTTCCCAGAGCAAAGACTGTGAATACCGGCCCATACTGCAACAACAAGGAGTTAAAAAGTTAACGACTTTATTGCTGAGACCATTTATGGAAGATCAAGGCTCTGACCCTGCAACAGGACTTGCACTGGTATATTAGAAATGTTGGGAGGGTGGAGAGAAAGAAAATAAAATCAAAGAAAGGATAGAGCAGTGCAGCTTCACTATCTAAAATCCTTGTTCAAGAATATACAGACATAAATAATTGAATTCATACATTTTTAAGGGGAGAAGGGACCATTGTTATCATCTCATCTGAGCTGCTGCAGAATTTCTCAAGCCACAGAATTTCACACAGTGATTTCTGCACAGAGCACAGCAACTTGTGGTTGAGCTAGTCCATACACTTCAAAAAAGACACCCAGTCTTGACTTAAAGATTCCAAATGATGAAAAAACTAGTGCATTCCTTGGTAATCTGATCCAATAGTTATTATCTTCTCTGTGAAGGAGTCACATCTTATCTCCAATTTGAATTTTTATAACAAACTTCCAAATGTTAGATCTTCTCATTAATTTGTGATAGATTAAAGAGCCCCTTTAATAAGACTGTCTCTTATCAAAAAGAAGGGTAAGTTAAAATCTCTTCAACTCCGTTATTTCCCAAAACATCCAGTAATGACAGAAATCACTACTGGAATCCAAACTTTCCCAACTGTTTGGAAGCTAGGACATTACTTTTTACCAATTTTTTGTCTTTGAACTTCATTTGGGCTGTAATGATTGTGTAGTTTGTTTGGCAGAGCTATCATTGGGGGTACGTCTAAACTAATGGCTCCGTCGACGGAGCCATGTAGATTTGTTGTTTTGGCAAAAGGAAATGAAGCGGTGATTTAAATAATCGCCGCTTCATTTAAATTTACATGGCTGCCGCGCTGAGCTGACAAACAGCTGATCAGCTGTTTGTCCGCTCAGCAACGGCAGTGCATCATGCAGGGTGGGGCGTTGCTGTCATATCGCAAATACAGCTGGCAAGATTACAAGGAGAATCTGAGTAGGACCTAAGAAGGGGGAAAAATGAAAAACTTGACAGCAACAAAAACCAACCCATATTTCCATCAGTAGAGAAATAGTTACCCAATCGCGGACTTGCCTGTTGTAGATTTGTTTGTTTATTTTTTGAGGGGGGAGCAATTGCAAGAGATCAACTCACAAAACTTGTATCACTTTACATTTTTCCAGTATAGTTTAAGCTGTGGACATAGTTAGACAACATCTAGACTGCAAAGTTACGTAAGAAAAAGATACTCAAATTGCGAACTGCAATTTGTATATCTTTTTCCACTTTTCTTCTGAAAGAGGCTTTTCCAACATTTGGCCCATCTACATGTCAGAAAAAACCCTCTTTTGGAGCATCCCTTCTTCCTCATAAAATGAGGTTTACAGGAA